CATTGAAATAACATTAAAAACAGCATACTTGAATGTATAAAACATATTCGGATTTTGTTTTTCCATATTTTCTTCATACTGTTTAACGGATTTATATCCACATATTTGCTTACATATATATATATATATATATATATATATATATATATATATATATATATATATATATATATATGCGTTGAGTTAAAGATCAAATGCAGATCAAATATGGATCTGAATCCAACAGGATGATAAGATACAGAACAAATAGGAAGCGTTTAGCAATCTAGCATTTTCCTTTTATTAAAGCTTCGTCAGAGATTGAGAAAGAAACAGACAAAAAGACAGAAGTTCTGGTATTTCCAATTTTGTGTAGTTTGATTTTCACTGGTCAGTCATGTATCACGTGCATCATAGCCGTAGATAATTCTATATGTATGGAAGTTTGTAAAAGTCTAATTTCTATATATGCGAGCATCGGATGATAATGTGTATTTGTAATTGTGTATGTGTGTCTTTCTAGTGGGAGAAAATAGTTCTCATGTTTGTCTGGTTCTTATGGGTCAATCGTATATGTCCAGTTGATTTTATCGTGAGTTGATATGGTAATGTTTTATTTATGTGTCCTATCTGTATTAGATAGACATAAGTTACATTCTTTAAAGAATGGACTCAATAAAAAAAAAAATGTTGTCGATGTAATACAATGTTTTAGACAGGGTGTTTATAGTTGGTAATAATGTTATTCTTAAGTTTTCAAAGCATTTTCTCCTTATATAGAATTACGTTCTTTTTTTTTTTTTAAATGAGAGTAGCATTAGTAAAATCAATGTCATGGCTTGTTTTGTTCCTGTTTATTACGAGAGAGTTTGAAGGATTGTCCAAATGTGTTTTTGGGTTCATAGATGCAGGTTTCTAGATCTGATATGTCTCCCCTTAAGAGAAACGCAAATGTGTCAAATGACAAAACATTTTTGCATTCAGAAACAATTTATTTGATAAATACCGGCAATCGGATTCATTTTCAATTTTGTTGTGTGAATCTTTTCTTCCTAATTATATCTTTGATTGTCTTGGAGGTGGTGGTAAAGATCCTAGTATTAAGAATGACTAATTTGTTTACAAGTTTAATAGAAAGATTGTTGGAGGGTAGGATTATGAATTTGATGTAATTTTTGTTAGAAGTGTTATTAGTGGTGGCTTGTTTTTTTGTCTTGTGGATTTTGTAAGCTCGTTTTCTAGCGTTGAGGATAAAATGATGCGGGTAGTGAAAAAAATCTAAATGTTTTTTTTCTCGATATATTTTATCTTCATCAAAAGGACTTAGGTATTCTAGGCTACATATCCTGAGGGCTCTAAGTTAGAAGCCTATGACTTGTGGCGGGACCGATAAGGATGTCGCCCCCGCAAGCTTTTAGAAGGTTGGTGTGAACAACTAGGACAACGAGGTGACAAAGGCAGAGGTCTAAAAATATTAAACGTCGATTTTTATTTATCCAAAATGTACAAGAGTGTACTGTCTGGAGAAATATGTTTGTATTGGTACCGGGTCCAGTATGACTGGTTTTCCTTCGGGGGGGGGGGGTTCGGTTGTATCGGCGAAACGAGTGTAGAGTTGGTCGGCGGCGGGAGCTGGTCGATTGCCGGATTGGAGAATTGTCGGCGGCAGTAGCTGGTTGATCGATGACGCACGAAGATTTGTTGGGTCGATTAGGACGAGTCCCTAAACAGGGCTGAGTCAGTATAGTGATACAACTTCCAGGGCTGATCAACCGTGTGCGTGGGATCGTGCCGAAGGCGGAAATCCCTAAACAGGGCCGTCAGTGTAGTGATACGACTTCCAGGGTGGATCAACCGCGCCGAAGGGTAGCACTTGTGTAACAGTTGAAGAAGCAAGAGTCAGAGAGGCGATACGTCTTCCAGGGTGGATCGACCGCGGAAACGGGATCACGCCGAAGAGTATTTTCTCGACGAAGCACCGGAAGCTCACAAAGGTAGCGTACTACACTTTGATCCCGGCCAATATTTATTGCATAAAAATAAAATTATGGCACAAGGCCGAAAGAAGGGGTTGAGGTTGGTCTTCACTTACTATCTTATACCTAGTTAATCCGATTCACGACCCATTCACTCATTACAATTTGCCCATTCACCATAAAGACTCGTCTGTCAGCAATCAATCCCCCATACACCATCCAGGCCACCGGGCGGAGCAGCCTGGGTTTGGACGAAAAAAAAAGGGGGCTAACAATATGTGGAACGATTTGTTCAAGTACTCCCTGGCTAGAGGGAGTAGAAACCAATAGATATAAATTTACTTCCCATGTTGTTCAATGTTTCGAAGCACTGCCTAATCCGATGCTCACGAGGTACGGTTTTGGACTCAACTATATTGGGCCAGTCGTCCAGTTCCTCGCATGCTGCTGGACTTAAATCTGCGAGATCAGAGGTTGTGAAAGACAAGGTCATTTTTCTAAGGAGCTGCTAATGGCGGCCGCGACAGACTAATCCTGATTTTATTCTTTGGTTGTGGTGGGAATAGAATATATATGTCTGTAATTTCTAAATAACTAATGGATTTTGTTATTTTTTAACCGAGCATATGTTTATCTTCAAACGTTATTTTTAGTGAATAGCCATATTTAGTGAATAGCCACATTTAGTGAATAGCCATATTTAGTGAATAGCCACATTTAGTGAATAGCCATATTTAGTGACTAGCCACATTTAGTGAATAGCCACATTTAGTGAATAGCCATATTTAGTGACTAGCCACATTTAGTGAATAGCCATATTTAGTGAATAGCCACATTTAGTGAATAGCCATATTTAGTGACTAGCCACATTTAGTGAATAGCCACATTTAGTGACTAGCCACATTTAGTGAATAGCCACATTTAGTGAATAGCCATATTTAGGGAAGAGCCACATTTAGTGAATAGCCATATTTAGTGAATAGCCACATTTAGTGAATAGCCACATTTAGTGACTAGCCATATTTAGGGAAGAGCTGTATTTGATTAGACGCTCGGTTTATTTTAAATAGTATTTTATTTCGTCTACCCGTCTGCACAGTATATTTTTAATATATACATAATTTGACTTGTATACCGCCTACCCAATAACCGTGAAGATAATATAATATACTTTACTACCCATGATGCACCATTGACCAGCATAAACAAATTGTGAAGCCAGAACACAATACACATGTTCAGAAGATTGCGTTCAATTATGAAACAAATTGTCGCCGCTCAGTGTCCACTTGCATATATATATATGTGTGTGTGTGTGTACGCATGAGCACGCGCACGCACATATCTATCTATCTATCTATATCCATGCGTAGCTAATTGATACTCAAAAGTATAACATTTAAAGTGATAAAATAGATACGTGTATGGCATCTATCTATATATTTTAAGACATTTTTATATTTTTTTTTATAGATACAAATATTTAAGTAAATGCTCTGTTTGTAATACACAGTATTAATAACATTTACCATCCTGAGTGTCTGAGAAATTGTCATAGGAAATATGCGTCCTCTGACAGGAATCGAACCTGTATCCTTTACGGAACCGTCATATAGCCTGACGTGCTTTTACCGATTTCGCCAGAGAGGTGCATTTCGGTTAGCGAGCTCGATTTTATTGTTTTAAAACTACAATTTTCCATGATCAGTAAAAGCACGTCAGGCTATATATGACGGTTCCGTATAGGATACAGGTTCGATTCCTATCGGAGGACGCATATTTTCAGGACTATAGTAGCAGATGTACGGATTCGTCAAGGATAAACGGCTCTGTACACTCAGTATTCGCCCATTCAACAAGGACCAGAAGCCAGAGGTTTGTCAGGCTAATTTATATTTTGCCAGACGGGCAAAATTCTGCAAGCCATGAAGCAAAAGGCCAGATAAAAAAAAACGTAAAAAAACAACCTAGTTCACACCCATCTTTATTTGCACTTGCTGAAATCAAATCCTGCAGGATGTGCTAGTTTCTTGAAATCGCTGCTCAATTCGAGGCTCAATAGATTAGATTTGATGTGGACACAGGAGCTGTCATATCGATTATACACAAGAAATAGTTAGGCGCTGTAGTTATGTACCCAAAAAATATATCCATTGTGTTCGCTAACGGACAGCAGATTAAATGTCCAGTACAAGCTACATTAAATTTGACGGTCCACAATTTGACGGTCCAACGTGAGTTCACCTGGACATTTGTGATCGCAGAAACCACAAAATATCCCCTAGGTTCAGTCAGTAATGTGCCATGCGTGATACACACTTAGGTGATCATGCATCTTTCGAGGGAGATTTTTTTCCCGCACTAGGTTGTCATTTCTTTTTTCTGTAGAGTAGTTGCCATCCAAGGCTATAGAACCCGGCCTGAAGAGAAGAAGTGAATTCATACCTTTCCCAAGGGTATTAGCACGTAAGTGAATGTATTGTATTCAAGTGGAATTCGAACTCGGCTCTCCATTTCCTCAATCCGAGCCGCTATCCATTACTCTACCGCGCCTCCTAAGTTATGATTTCTTAAACCATTTCGGTATGACGGTCGACGGCGCAAACAATAAACTGATCGACACAACAACTAACGCAAAATCGACTGCTGAGATGATGAACATCGTAGTGGACCAAGAAAACGCTTCTGACTCGACAGAATTAGGGAAAATATTCAAACATAATTTCACCTCATCGCAACTCAAATGCAATAAAACCGAACGTTTTTTGTAAGATCGAGACATATAGCAAGACCCCCCTCCCCGACATTTTCTATACCACAACAATAGTGATATTTGATAAATATAGGAATTTAGAAACAAGGCCGAAAGTATGGGCGCCGAGTGAGGAACGAACTAAGTACACAATCAAATTTATTCTAGCGTGACAAGCTTGCTAACCAGTACACCACACCGAGGTGCCCACACATTTGATAAATATATGTGGCAACTTGCCTTTCTTAAGAGCATAGTAAACATAAAAACTGGAAGTTGGAATTCGAATCGTTTACAGCCGTTTCACCTTTAAAACACTAGTTCACGCCTGATCACAGAAGTTAAGCCATGTTTAGCCTGGTAGGCACACAGATGGGTGTCCACCGGGGAATACCAAGTAATGTAAGCTACGTGCAGGCCTAAACAAGCCAGCGATGAATACAATCTCGCTACTGATGCTAACAGTTGACCTCGATAAGTGGAGTTGTTTCTCTAGACTGACAGGTCACATGACCTACCCGGAGTCGAGTGGGTGGTGAGAGCTTGTTGAATCCATTTCGATAACCGTTACGCGCCACCCATATTCCCTCAAAAGAAATTTAATCAAATCATACGAGAGTCGGTCAAAAATATAGTAAAGCAATGCACGTTCTGGTTTAATTTTCAAACTATTAGGTCGGACACCACTCTTTTCTTTCTATCTAAGAATTCAGGGAAAACTACCATCTTGTTTTCTGTTTTACTAAACATAATCAGTCTTAATTGTTGAGAGAAAATTCTTTGAAATTCTTGGTTAGAGGCCGATAAAATAATTGGTGAATAATTTTACACTGGCAATAACCTCAACGCAGATCGTGGGGAACTGAAACGAAACTTTTTCCATAACTCTAGACACTCTTCTCTTAATTTAAAATTTTCTCCTCATTTTTATATGAAAAAGAATTTCAGATGGCTCGCTATATTCTTTTGCATATTCTTTTCAGCTCATCAGTCAATTTGTGTGAAGGCAAGGTTTTCATTGGTGTGAAGAAAATTTTACATAGGCACGCGAATTTCTTTACTTCTTTTCCCTCCGTCCGTCGAGGTCAAAAGGAGTTATTATTGTTACGCACTCACTACAGTTATTCAAAAAAAAAATGTGAGTTCCTGTAACGTCGGCAGACTCCGTTAACAATGGTTGCTTCCCAATAGATTTGGAGCTGCACAACACTCAGAGGACAGTGCTTAAATAATAAAGCAACTCATACACGGCTACGAAGAAACAATTGTTCTTGCTCCCTTTCGATTAAATATTAGAACAAACCGGGCTCTAGAGCCTTGGTTAACAACTAGTCTAGGAGAATGATAATTCCAAACTATGAAGAAGGCAACGAGAAGTCACTCCACTGTTATAAAAATTATGTGAAAAAAATACAAACGCATATCTAACCAATGAAGTAGTCGGATACATCGTTTCTATAAGCCTTGATTCTTAACCTGTTTTTACAAGCCTTGACTCTGAAGCTTTTTTTTTATAAGCCTTAATAGTAAACCTGTTTTTTTTTTTATAAGCCATGATACTGAACCTGTTTTTCATAAGCCTTCATTCTGAACCTGTTTTACATAAGCCTTCATTCTGAATCTGTTTTTCATAAGCCTTCATTCTGAAACTGTTTTACATAAGCCTTCATTCTGAACCTGTTTTTTTATCAGCGTTGATTCTGAAATTGTTTTTTATAAACCTTGATATTGAAACAGTTTTTCATATGCCTGGATTCTGAATCTGTTTTTATAAGACTGGATTCTGAAACTGTTTTTTATAAATCTTGATTGTGAACGAGTTTTTCATAAGCCGTTTTCTAAACCTGTTTTTTATAAGCCTTGATACTGAAACAGTTTATAAGTCTTGATTCCGAACCTGTGTTTTATAAGCCTTGATACTGAACCTGTTTTTATAAGCATTGATACTGAACATGTTCTTTATAAGCCTTGATACTGAACCTGTGTTTTATAAGCCTTGATACTGAACCTGTTTTGATAAGCCTTGATTCTGAACCAGTTTTTATAAACCTTGATTCTGAGCCTGTTTTTATAAGCCTTGATAATGACCAGTTTTTGAGAAGCCTTGGTTATGAACCTGTTTTTATAAGCATTGATTCTGAAACTGTTTTTGATAAGCCTTGATTCTGATCATGTTTTTTGATCCTTTTTTAATTACTTTTTCGGCAAATATTTCTTCATCTAAAATGTCAGGCTTCTTTTTTTTTATATTTCACGTGAAGGTAAGAAAAAATGAATTCATCGAAAGCCGTTTTTCTTTCTCAGTTTTGCTTCTGGTATTGACTTTTTCTATATTTACAAATTCATCTCTACCCACGAATGTTGTGTATTAAATAATATCCTTTTAGATCGCTTTGCTTATTACTAATTAAGTCAGCTTGTTTTATTTTACCTTTACACTTTTACAGATATTGTAAAATGATCACTTTGACAGACATTGAAAAAGTCCTTTCTAAAACTTAAAGATTAGTCTACGAGTTAAAAAACAAAACAAAAACGGTTTCAACCACATGCATCCATAAAATAATGATTGAAATTTTTTAAAAATGTCGGATTAAAAAAGGAATCCATTACTTTTTAAAATTACTTTGTTTACGTTTCGATACAGGTTCGAATCCTGTCGAAGGACGAATATTTGCTATGAAAATTTCTCGGACATTCAGGCCGTAAATGTTATTTAATACTGTTTATTATAAACAGAGCATTTACTTAAATAGTTGTATCTATAAAAAGAATGTTAACCATAAAAATGTCTTCATATATATATATATATATATATATAAACACAAACCTATCTACTCCTATTTTAATCTATCTACTCCTGTATTAAGTTTTTAAAAGTGAACAGGGGAAAAATGTCAAGATTATAATAAGCATCTAACATCCGCATTTGATGACAGGATCCTATGAGAGGATCTTTACCGCTGGCTTTAAATCGGCCCTCTGTGTTCAAGCTCGTCAGGTAATGTCTTGATATTATCGTTTATTAGTAAAAGGACGAGTTTCCAGTGTCTAGTTTATTAGTAAAAGGACGAGTTTCCAGTGTTTCATGACCCAGAAGCCGAAAATCGGGGTTAAAATATTTCATTCATCATAGATGTCGTGAGTAGGATTTATTAAAACTTCCATTCACTCTAATGAAGAGTGATATCAGATTGGGCTACATTTGACAGTTCGGCGCTACTAAAATTTGAATTTAATTTTTGATGAATACATTAAAAAATAAGCTAATTTAAGTTAGGCTACTAATGAGAAGATGGTCAATTCAAAATTTATCAGCTTCTGCTTTTCAAATGTAGCCCAACAGGTTATCTGTGTCCTAATATTGGAATCCATATCCAGTGGCATAGGGATTAATTAAAAGGACAATTGGCAAATTAATATGTATAATTATTATGTTACTTTTTATCGCCAAGGAGAATTATGTGATAAGAGAATATTTCCATACTTATCATGTCGGTGTAATCTCTTAATATTACTTTAATATCGCGTCATGGTCACTAATTAAAAGAGAGATATGTGAGAAAGGAATATTTTTTATTTGCACTGCCATCATTATGCGCATTATTATATCCATGATATAATAACACCTTAATACAGAAGAACTGAAACAAAAGGAAAGACAAACATGCATTGTTATCAAGAGAAACTATAACACATGAATATAACAACAAGCAGTGTGGAAGTAAGAAAAAAGGGTAAGACTAGTAATAACTCCCAACGGAAATTCGAGCGGGCCGGATTTTTCTTCTATGTCTCTGGTGAAGAAACATTTCCGAACGGGAAAACGGAGAAGCATGGGTATTTCCGAACAAGAAAACTGCGAACTGGAAATAGTTTCTATAATTCGAGCGGGTCAGATGCATCTTTCATACCTCTGGTGAGGACATTTTTCTCAACGGGAATACGGTGTTATGGAATTTTGTCCCATATCAGCTGGCCCTGGCAGCCCGGTTTTAGCCCACCTTGCCTTGAGTTCAGGCAGCTAAATATCGATTTGACTCAAGGAGTGCAAGCTAAAGACTGGCCGCTTTAGTCACTTTATGAATTAACGTCACTCCACAGCCGTCACGTGACCCGCGTAATTGCATCTCAACTAAAATGAGATAATCTCCTTTTGCATCTCTACAAGTACATGAACTTGCGTGTTTTTTTTTTAGATATATTACCCAAAGTTTCGAAGAATTCGAACAAATTGATCACACTTTGCTTTTCTCGTCTATCGTCGGGACGGTGGAAAATATTCGAAGAAAAACAGAATAAAACTTTGAAATTTTTTCCGCAATTTTTTATCCGGATCTGCAACAGTCTATTCGAAAATTGGACAAATACAATAACAAATTAAAGAAAAAGACCTTCCCAGTTAAATCTAATAATAGTTGTTTAAATGTATTCATGCTGCCAATATACTATAACCAGAGAATAAAATCTGGACTAATCATAGGATTTTGCCCCAGAGCGCTTAGGATATGTAGCTCTGAATATCTACATGCAGAAGAGGAATATATTGAGAAAACATTCAAACTTCTCCACTATTCACATCATTTTATCCTCAACGCTAAAAAAACGAACTCACAAAATCCATATAACCAAAAAAACAGATACTTCCAAAAATTATACAAAATTCATAATCTTGCTCTCCAACAGATTTTTTTTCAACTAAACTCGCAAATGAATTAGACATCCTTAATACAATGATAGTTGCCACCACCTCCAATCAATCGGGGATATAATCAGGAAGAAAAATAAACGACACACCATCTCAAATGCCGGAATTTATCAAATAAAGTGTCTACAATGCAAAAACATTTACGGGGGTGGGGACATCACGTGATCCAAAACGAACACAATAGAGACAGACATTCTAACTCTCTCGTCTTAAATCGAAATGACGTAGTACATAACTTTGATTTCATTAATGCCAGCGAAATTAAAAAAGAAACGACATAACTCTTTAAGGAGAAAATATTATGAAAACATTTATAGCATTACTATTAAATATAAATACTCGCTTAAAACATTATATCACATCACATCTTTTTACCGATCCATTATTCATGAATCAAACTTATTTCGATCTAATACATAAAATAATGAAAATATACAAATCCTTTTCAGAAAATACGCATGAGAAATTCTTCAATGATAAACATGATTATTACAATATCTTGCTGCGTCTCACCGATCCACACAGAGATCACACACACACACACACACACACACACACACACACACACACACATACACACACACACTTATATGAATTAACGTTACCGTTCAACATACACCGAGATATACAAGCGTTTCTTTACATACACATTTATACATCATTACACACTTTAACATCAAAAATGTTCCTCCTACATA